TGGCGCGGTTTGCATTCTCCTGCTAGCTGCCCAGCTCCCCCTCACACACACAGTCTCACCTGCTTCTTATAGCTGTGATTATCTCCCAGCATATAAACCAGCAGTCGCTGTTCACTCATTGCCAGATTCTCATCTACCCACATGCATGATAATCCAGGTTCACCTTGTTGTCTAACAGCTTTTTCTTTAGAGATAGTGCTATGGCAGTCAAGGCTGATACTAAGCCCTCACCCTCTTGGCCAATGAGATCACCGTTTTCAGCAAGTCCTCCAACCTAAATGACAGGATACATCATATGTCCCTATCTCAAATACCCTTCCAGTGGCATGTTTACCAGACCTTTGTCTTCATGATAACGGTCATACACTCCATACAACCGTTCCACTGGCATGTGTACCCAACCTTCGTCGCCATGGAAACAATCATAATAGACCGTTACAGATTTATTTTGTTTAGGTGCAAAAACAACAAAAAGTAACAATTTGTGTTAGATAACCTTCATCATCACGGTAATAAGCACCTGATAAAGGTTGTGAAATGGTTATGGATGTAAAACACATTTCACACTAGAATTGAACAGCGGCCTCCTATAGGAAAGTCCTGTAATTTCTGATTTAGGTTGCCTAACAAGGACACATTACAGTTGGTTGCAATAACCTGCAGGCATAAATAGCCTATAGACCCATGTTTTATTGGAGGACAGCTTCTCGCTGTTGCACACATCAATATAAGCGGCAGAGAGAATGAATTATTCCTATAGCCTAGAGAGCCAAAGAGATGCTGCTGCTCTCTTACACTTTTAAATAGTAACTGCTTATCTGCCATGATGACCCTGTTTTAGGCAAACCCATGGCCAAACAGAAGATCATACAGTAGCTGAGAAAGAATGTCATAATCGTACGGGCAGCCGGATAGAGGACCCCTCCCACAGGAGTGCACTCTCCATGAGGAATATGGCTGAATCAGCAGCTATAGTGAGGAGGATGGCTCTGGTAGTTTGTACCGTGGTGCTGTACCTAACCTCCAGCCTACACATCAGGTCTGACACAATGGATGTGTCTGAATTCTCTCCAGTTGAATTGCAGACTGGGTAAAATGTAACCTAAATAAAACTCAACCATATATAGTATGTGTCCTATCAGATTAGGGTTTTATTTTTGTAACAGTGGTTTGGAGCAGTTTTAGATGGCACCCTACACATGATGTCATAGTGCTAGTAAGGACTAAAGATCAGACAGGGCATGTACAAACAATGTATTTTGCTGTTTAACTTGGAGGATTTGTTCTGTTTTGGTTTTCATAAATAGCTCAAGCACCATCACAAAGTGTGCAAAAAAGAACCACATGAAACCAATAAAATACACATCTTGTGATGCACTAACCTTTTGATTGGGAAGTTTGTTGGTCTGTTTGAAGGACTCCGTCTGTGAAACCCAATAAGTGCGTGCAAGCTGGATGTAGAGATAGCCAATGATCAGTCCTGGAGCGACAATGCTGGTACAAAACAGGAAGGAGATGTAAACCTTATAGGAGAGTGGGGACAAGGTGGGCTGACACATGGCCTTGTCACCCACCATCATTAGCTGAATGCCCACAATCATTGGTAGGGTCAGGATGAGAGAAGCCACCCAGACCAGCAGAGCGATGGCCTTCCGATAACTTTTAGACCGTTTGACTGTGTCAAGTGGCTTGAGCACTGCAAAGTAGCGCTCAGTACTCATGATTGTCAGCGTGAAGATACTGGCATGCATAGTCAGGAAGTCCATGCTGATCAGAATCCGACACCCCACGTCTCCAAAGTGCCATCCCTTTAGGAAGTGTGTGCAGACCACGAAGGGGATGGTCAGAAGATACAGCAGATCTGCCAAAGCTAAGTTTATGATGTAAATGTACATAGAGGCAGCAGTCCTCATGGACTGGCACATGACTACCAGGGTATAAATGTTCCCTGAGACTTCAACGAGGCACATGATCGAGAGGATGGTGCCAATGGTAAATGTGGCGGCTGTGTCCTCGTGCGAGCTCAGACGGGCATCAGTGGTATTGGCACCCCTTTCCATTATGACTCCTACAGGCTCCATGGACACTGTGGTCATCTCTGGATGGATGGGAACAGAAATGTCAGGGGTTAGGGTGCCAGCTTTACACAACAATGTCATGTGGTAATTGCCTCTTGTTGTCTAACTTGTACTTGTAGTGGATGTTGCACAAATAGGGGCTGTATAGTCAGAAAAAACTATGCTGGTCTGTTTGATTGTATTCATATTCTCCATTTGCTACAGAAGAAGTCATTAAGGAACTGAAAGAATTTGCTTTCAGTGCAAACTTTGCTTTTGGGCACCTTCCCCACAAGTAATCTGCAAAATCAGATTATATCTGATTGCTTGCAGGTTTGCAGAGGTGACCAACTCTCTCACAGTGAGGAAAATAAAATCCCTAATTGTACTGGCTTAGAAAGCAGCTCTGAAAACAGGTTCAATGAATGTTTTCAAGTACCATATGTTCTTGTAAGGTTACACAAGTTTTGGTCATGAGTATAATTGGTCATGAAATGTCAGATGTCATTTTGAAACAGTTTGTTTGTCTGTGCTGAAGTTTTTCAGTATGACAACTGTCTGGGCTGAATGTAAGCAGGACTGCTGAAGCCTGATTCACACGTGATGTTAGAAAACATTTAAAAACAAAATGACAACAAAAGACAAAAGACAGAAATACTCTGGTTGCATTTGGATTTCCCAATGTTGATAAAATGGACAAATTTCACAGTCAAAGAATTTCTTAAGGAAATGAGCTGTAGTTATTGGGAGATATTCTACCTGAACATTATTTACATCAGCAGCATTTTTGCTGGCTGATAAAAATGCATATTCACTCTCTGATGGTACATGGGCAGAATGATGTATGTGACGTGCATTCTAAAAAGAGAGTTTATGCAGCTGTTGAAGGAACACAGAAAACATTGTAGCCAGTCACAGAAATCTAGCTGTTTGGTATTAACTGATCAGCACATGCACATAAAAATATCTTTATGGACTAAGCAATAGAAGTAGAATATACAGTCTTACCTGGACTGCTTCCCTGGACAGAAGGGTTCAGTACTCCTCTGAACTCCCCATAAAAGTCCCAACAGTGTCAGTATCTGAGAGGTGAAACACACAGATGGAAAAAAAATCTCTCTCCAGCAGTCTCAGCAGGGGGACATAACCTAAATGAGTTGTCCACTACAACAAAAATCCCTCCATTGTTGGCCAGTCTCTCAACAGCAAATAAATCAATCCAAAGTGTCTAGATTCATGAAAAATGTTATAGCTGTCTTAAAAGTTCTCCTCCATTCTCTTTGCCCTTTGTGCACCTGGGTAGCATCCAGAGTGACGTTGTCAGATGAGACATCGACAGCAAGGAAATGTAATGAGGAAGAGAAAACATAGAAAAACAAGAAATAATCATTCAAAAAACAATTAGCAGTGAGGATCACACTATGCTACAGCTGGTTATGGAAAAGCCCCCCCTCTGACTGGGTGAAAGCGAGAGAGCACAGAGGTAGAGATGGGAGAGCAAGACAGGGAGAGTGAGAGGAGTGTGTTGCTAGTGAGGCACTCTCACTTCGAAGCCCAAAGTGGGAGGGGGAAAATGGAGAGAGCGGGCAAGAGAGAGGTATGCAGGAAATGTGTTGCACTCGCTCTCCCCTGCTCTCTAACCACTGTGCTATCTATTTCTATGCAGCAGGAGCGCATCCCACAAACACATTGAAATGCAACACATTGATATGAGACACATTACACACTCACAGAACAACCCTGCTGACACAAACACACATGTGGTATAAATCAGTCAACACTGTCCATTTGTTCCACTGTGACATATCCAGTATTCATTATTTTAAATAGATAAATAAGTATTATTACTAATTTGTGGTTGTGCAAATAAAATGAATGATTTCTGTTAGTGTAAGAACAGTTTGAGTATTTTGTACACATTCTAAGAGTACAGTGACAATATTGATAACTGTGATCATTTTGGTGACAATAATTGTGATGTTAAACTTTCATAGCGTTTTATCCTACATACAGCACTGGTGTTTCTGGTCGTGTGCGCATGTGTGCAGACAGATATGACCACAGGTTTAGTCTATAGCTTTGTGACTCCAACCATTCACTGGAATAATACACAAACATGGCTCCTCCGGTTTGTATCTGTGAGTCAGAAAATCAGTGCTGTGAAATAAAATGCTATTTCCTCCTTTTATGCTTTTCATTTCCTCCATCACTTTTCTCTGTTACCTGCTCACGGCTGTGTTTACACACAAGAAATCATGGAAATGTTAGACAGCAAAAGTCACATTTCAGTTCAAATTAGTGTTGAAAAATAATCAAAAGATACAATATCAGTCAGTCATCTTAACGATGATCGAGCCAAATATGTATTCAGTAATAGCTAATTCAAATGAAGCATTTCAGTAAAGTAAAGCAAGTATACATGTTACTGGATTTGGAGGCGTTATCAAATATGAGTGACAACTATTTTAAGAAATAATCAGTCAAGGTATGAAAGTAGCTAAAATTTCAGAGGACAAGTGAAGCAAAGAGAAAAGGAAAGGCAGGCTCAGATCATCTCTGATGGTGTTTCCACCTCCAATCACCATGAAGTATCCAACTTTCGAAATGCTTGACTTTAAACACTCTTTTTGGGACCTGTGTATGCGACTCCAAGCCTCCTTGGCCTCGTATTATTATGTATCACTTCTACCTACCTCCAGAGCCCCCTTATCTCCAAATCATGTATCTTCCCTGTTCTTTGGTATCTCGTAGAGGTGAATAAGGTCACAATTTCTCTCTGCTAATGCAGCGGGCTCATTTCCTTCTACACCAAGGTCGGACATGAGGGTCCTATTTTTCCCTGGCCCCTCTGCTCATCACACTTCTCCCAGTCTCATCTCTTGTCTTGCAGAACATCTTGTAGGCCTGTGAATTACACCTGTGGCTTGAGATATGATTGAGAGGTACAGTAATGACTTGGGGTGAGGGTTGTGTGAGGGGCTTAGATGAGCTCAGGTCAGGCCACAACAAGCTCATACTGTATAGCCTGGATTGCTGTAAAACTGTCCTTGTAGAATCATCCATTCAAAGATACTTTCTAACAACTGCTTATAGGAAATATCTGGTTGTTTGATCAAAAGAATAATATACACGCTTGTGTACATAAAAAATGTTGACATTATCTATGACTCCCCTGCAGGTCCAACCCTGACTCAAACATCGCAATCTGTTCAGCACCCTCTGCAGTCTCCAGGCCAGTGTATCTCAAAGAGTGGGCCGCGGCCCACTGGTGAGCCATGAAGGTACTGCAGGTGGGCCGCACGAGGTCATTTACAATGACTAAATATATGGTCAATAAATGAGTGAATAGATAAAAAACTTTAGCCTTCAATTTTCTAATAAAATTTGAAATGACCATTAAATATTTCTGAATGAATACATTTTTAAAAGAAATTGCACATCTTGTCATTGGTGGAGAATTGTTACCGATGGAACACATCAGTGGGAAAAAGTTAAAATAGAGCAGTGGCTATGAGCTGTTACTGCAGAGTCAACCTGAAATGAGCCTGTGCCATCAAAAAGATGGACTCGTAGGACGTATCTAAAGGAGTACCTATCACTGGGATTTACAAGCGTGGACCAGAAAATGATCCCCTGCCTGTCTGTGTGCTGGCAAACGAGGGCCTGCAACCATGCAAGCTGCATTGTCATCTAGAAACTAAATGCAGACATTTTCTTTCAAGCCCCCTGATGTTTTTGAAAACAAGCTCAGAGAGTATTTGAGCCATAAAAAGTAATTGAATCCACAGGTGTCACTGAGTGAAAGCAGCACGGCAGTGGAGGTGTCCTACCAAGTAGCTTTGTTTTTGTGCCGTTAAATGCCACAAATATTACACAGCAGAGGTTGTAATAACTGTATCAGAATGCGTGTATTGAAAGATATGCAAGTGTTGGCCTGATTAAACATTAAAATTATTTTTGTTTGGTTTTTCTTCATATTGATTTTGGGCTGGTTGTTGTGAAATTTTATGTATGAACATTTTATTATCCACTGTCATAACAATCCAACATTTGCACTTAATTTCTTACATCTGTTGTGTTACAAATTGTTACATAAAAAGAACTCTCCCCACACATGGATCTGTAATTTTGCAGTGCATTGCCATATAAGCAAACGTTCACATGGACTTGCTCCATTTATGAAACAACAAATACAGTATATAGAGAAATACTAGTCTCATGGGTTGATCAAAGCTATGTTTAAAGGTTTGGGTGGGCTGCAGAAAATGTTCAGATTCAGTTTGGGCTGCGACATTTTTAAGTTTGGCAATGTCTGCTCTAGACAAAAGCAACTGCTGCAAACATTTTTCTTTTTTTAAACAAAGGCCTCATATGAAGATAACAAATTGTATCATCCCATAATAATGTGACCTATTTTCCGTTCTCAACAGGTGCTATGTAAATTTAGCAGCTGTTTCACTCTCACATTGCTGTGAGCAGAGAGTCTACTATGTTAATTGAGGATAATTACTTGTTCACCGGAAAAAGCATGGGTCACTGTGAGGGACATGTTCTTGGCAGGGAGACATACCTGAAAATGTTTCATGGCCACAATAGCAGGGTGTTTACATCTTGAATTTGCATTTCCAAAACTATCCCAGTGGGCCGATACTTTAGTTTGTGCTACTGTGTGAAGCTCATCTCTCATTTCTACTTGACTGAAGATGAGGATACGAACAATGATCTGTCCATAACTGGCGTTTGTTTAATGAGTACACCACAGTAATGTTACAGTATACTGCCTTACTGAGCTATGGGATTTGACTATACAAAAACTTTAATGTTGTTGCTTTGTTTTATGCCAACTGTGACAGTTTAGACTTTCACAATGTGGGACATTTAGTTTTCAAATGTGTCACTTTTGTTTCTCAGAGTCACAGAGTGGTAAGCTGCCAGAACACACAAAATCAACTGGGTATATTGCTTTGGTACCTTAGAAAGAAATGTTCATTTGAGTAAATCTTCAACTATTAGCTAAAAGTGTAACCTACCTATCACAGTAACACAGGGTATTGTGAGGTGGATCTGCTGAATTCATAACCATAAACAAGACTCCTGTGCAATATACTTGTCTTTGTTTTTTGCTCTGCTATAAGATCAGTCTGTTCAGTCTCATCCCTCCTTCACCCTTTTCTGACCTTCAGCAGCTCTCCAGGCTGCCATGCCAGTCAAACATACACACAGGTACCTGTTTAAGTTATGTAAAGGCGATCAGTGCACAATAACCTGGGAGCATATTACAGTTCAGCTGGTTTATGCTGTTATGGTGAGATATGTGTTGTATTCTAAATTTGTGCAAAGCTTATATTTACGTGTACATGAGAGTGTTGGAATTTGGGGTTGGATAACTGAGTCAGCACACTCGCTGTATGTGTGTTGAGGAAACAGCCACAGAGTTACACAGATGGTATTATGTCACTCAGAATCAAACAGAAATACTAGGACTGCTACTGTAATCTAAGACTGCTCTTGACTATTTTACAGCCCTAGGGCAAAATTGAATGGTTCACCCTTAGTGACAAGCCACACCACCGCCATTTGTCTGTAGGTACATCTCAGTTATACATCCACAGTGTGTACATGTACTTAAAGGTACAATGTGTATGATGCAAAAAATGTATTGGTAAAAAGGGGCTATAGTATGCATAATAATTGTATTTTCATTGTGTAATCAATCACCAGAAAATAAGAACCATTCTGTTTTCTTTAGCTTTGAATGAACCTTTTTTATCTACATAGGAGTGGGTCCCCTATCATGGAGGCCGCCATGTTTTTTTACACTAGCCCAGAACAGATAAGCCACACACTGGCTCTAGAGTGAGAATTTCACATTTTCATGTTGAAGTAGCGACTTGGATTTGGAGTAATGATTTGGAGATGCCTGGAAAACATATCAGTGATGTTAGAGCCAAGTGGAAGTAATGCTGTAAGTTTAAGAACTATAATTTGAAGAATGAGGAACACAGTTACACTTTAAATCAAGAAAAAGGAAGGCAGCTGTTGTCAATGAAGCAAAGACACGAAGGAATGAGACAGGCGATGGCAAAAGACAAGGATAAACTTTGGTGTGGCCTTTCCAAGATGGAAATCCTTGATGAGGGACAAATGCTTCCAGAATGACGTCAAAGTTGCC